TGGCCCATCAGCGAGTCCAAGGCGCCGATTGCGCAGGTGAAGATTGAGGGTCATCGGTGGGAGGTGCACTTTGGGTATAATCATGGTGGGAAGATGAAGGTGTTTAGCTTTTTGCCGGTGGACGGGCCGATTCAGAACTTCCGCGCGGATGTGAAGCGGTTCTTTGACTATCTGGTTGCGGAGCATCGGTTTCCGGTTCATAACCAATACATGCTCGGTAAGCAGTGCACTTTGAGAGAGTTTCACGGGAGAGCTGACGGTTTGCAGTGTTCCAGCTGGGTACGGAGGCGTTTACGGGTGGTCCCGCGGAGTTTGTGGTTCCCAAGTTCATTGCCGATGTCCAGTGAGGCTCGTTTCCGCCGCCACAAGCTTTGTAACGCTGGGACGTGGAAATTCTACAGCGATGAATGACATTCTTCTAGGTCTAATCTAATATTTTACACTAATAGTACAATATCCAGCACATAATCTGGAGAGAGGAGATGGTCCAACATCATCCCCGGGTATCATGCAACACAGTGGTCCACGCCCGCCGTCAACAACAGCTTCGCATATTGCTGATGCAAAGCGACGACAACCCCCATCAGGGCTCCCTTGCCATTGCTGACTCGGTCAATCATCATCGACTTTATCTTGAACCTGACGACCCGCTTTTGAGGATCAAGCTCCGTGACGAGCGTGATGAACGTGTCCATCTCACGTGGACCCTGCTCCCTGGGCGACACACCGCCACGGAACATGATGGTATTGGGCGACTTGTCGATGACGATAAAGTCGTCCGCCAGTATCGTACCTATCATCGTCAGCAGGTCTGGTATATGAGGCTGAAGCATTTGACGTACCGACGGGGTAAGTGCTCTTCAGCAATCCCTCCTTGTCCCAAATGTCACCCGCGTTGGACTCATTCTTCCTCGCCCTCTCCATGAGTTTCCGCTGTACAGTGAAAGCTACACCAACTTAGCACTGAATATCCAGGTTCTTCCCTAGTTCCTCTCTCACTCACCGTACCGCCCCCAGACACCCGCCGCGTACGTCTCCACCAGCTTCGACCCCCCGCCCAACGCGTCCTCCAGCAACCCAGGACGAACATTCTCAAAAGCCACCTCGCGGACGAAGCAGTCATGAAACCCGCCATTATTGTCCGGATTTACCTTCTTCAGGAACGGGTGCTGGAACAGACTGTCCGTCGCCGGCGAGAACGACTCGTCGAGGCAGCATTGGCGGGTCCACAGGTGGAAACCCGTCGGGACTACAACGGCTGTGGCGGCGGCGAACTTGGAGAAGGCAAGTAGCCTTGCCCGGGTGAAGATCGAAGCCATCGTGGGATCTTACGTCGGAAGCGACTTTTTGGTGATTTTCTGGTCACAAAGAATGTCATTAACGAAGGAAACAAATGGCATGAAATTTTGGCTCTGTTGACATGGGTCCTTGGGCCTGGGAACGGAGTTCACAAGTTGTCATATTCTCCGTTTCCCTCCGTGCCTTGGCGGAGCCGCACGTGACCCGAAAAATTGAAGTAGCGCTCGACAGTGATGAAGGCGTCTTCCATCGTCGAGTCCGAAAGCCGAGACGCGAGATTCCCTGCCAAGCGGGCCGGTTTTTCCATCCTCACTAACGACGGGTGAAAAGTGGAGATGGCATCCGGCGGGAGAACTTGCTCGGTAGTCCGTGGGCTCCGAACCGGCTTGGCTGGGCATTGGCTAAGCGATGAAGTGTTGTCAGATTAAAGTTGTTGTGGGCAAATGGCGTGAGGTGCAGGTGTGTTGGACGTCTGAGCCGCAAGATGTCCACTGACGCACCCACGGAAGGACTTGGTCAATCTTTGAAGGGACTTTTTTGACACACGAAATACAAACACATATGTCTTGCAATTCCTGCAGGAAACTAGCGTCGAAGTGAGGTAAGTCCCTTTTGAGATTGATTATTATTGAAGCAATCTGAATCAACTTGAATATCGCGGTGGTGAAAGGTCACAGAGACGGCCCACAAGATCGCACCGGTCTCGACAAACTAGGAAGGCAATCAATCCACCGCAAGCTTAGGCGCCTACAAACTTTGCGGTTGAATCCTGCATCGGTCATAGTCTCAAGCTTCTTCATTTCACACTATGAAGATTAAATGTAGCCGGCGGGAACCAATGACTTCCACAAGGTGGAATGAAGAACAAACTCACCGAACATCGTCGTATTCAACATAGCTCTAACCAGCATCATCAACCGCTACGGACAGCAGGTCACAGCGCGTCTCCGCATTACGATTATGAGTGAGAGTAAGTAGGTTGAACTTCTCGTTCACAGAAGCTTGTATATGTGGTAGCGTGCGAAGTCCAGGTGAGTATTAATCGAGCCTTGGAGCCGAATCTGAGACTGTAAAACCGACTTAACAGTACGAAGTTGAAGTCTCACAATCATGTAGCCAAGCTTGTAACTAACTTGTGTGATTCAAACTACGATTTGTATGAGAAGCTTTCTGACCTGGGTGGCGTGATTGCTTCTATACCATTTTCATAGTATTGACTTTGTAAAGAAACTTAGTCAATTCTGGTTTTGTCAAGTCCGACGTCCCTTTGCGAAAGATTTGGTAAATAACAAAGCTTCATGAAAATCATCATCGAAGTAGTCAATTAAACTTTCACATTAAACATGGTCAAATTTACATCAACTAGTACTATTTTCATCACAGTCAGAGAGCTAGAACATATCTAACATGAAACCCACCATTCTACCTCCCGCCACAAACACTCACTCAAGAGTTTTCAGCCACACCTCCACCGGATCACCCCCGCCCTCCACCACATCAGTCTTATGCTTCACCCCATAAAGATACGGCTTCTCATCCGCATAGCACGCAGTCTCCGCCTTCTCCGGCACCTCCCCCGTCATAATATACCGCCTTGCAATCGCCTCCGTGCACTTCGACGTGTCCCTCGACGAATGCCCGTAGCCATGGTGCGCCACCAGCCTCGCATTGCGCCCCATCTCCTTCAGCAACCTCCGCCCATTACGCAGCGGCGTCGCGGGGTCGTACGTCTCCGCGATCAGCAGCACCGGGTGTCGCAGCGTGTGGTTCAGGTCGCCGCGGTACACACCCGCGGGCTCGGGCCAGTACGTGCCAAAGTGCCGGCACGGAAACACGTTGAAGAAGCGCGAGTTGCCCGAGACCCACGACTTGGCCGTCATGTTGGCCCACAGCGACGCCCACCAGTCGAGCCCGTCGGCGGGCTGCGGCGCGTCCCACGAGTCGGCGCAGATTACCAGCGTGCCGAGCTCGTCGGACGACGCGGGCTGCGGGTGCGTGGCCGGCAGCGTCGGGTCGTACTCCCACGCGGAGCGCTCGAGGGCGCGCGCGGCGAGCGTGGCGTTGCCCTGCTCCAGCTCGGCGAGCATCTGCGCGAGCGCGGGCCAGCCTTGCGCGTTGTAGAGGGAGCGGTAGATGGCGCCGACGAGGCCGGAGTAGGTGACGAGCGAGGGCCCGCTGGTGTTGGTGTAGCCCATGACGGGCCTGTCGATGAGCGAGTTGACGAGGGCGAGCATGCGCGACTCGAGCTCGTCGAGGGCGACGGGGTAGCCGTCGATCTCGCGGGCGAGGGCGCAGTGGTTGGGCCCGGCGTTGAGGCACTCGCCGAGGAAGCCGTCGTGCCAGGCGTTGGTGGCGTTGTCGAGGGCGGTCCAGCCGAAGCCGCCGAGCAGGCGGTGGTCGCGGACGTACTCGGTGCCGTCGAGGATCATGCGGCCGACGCTGTGGGGGAAGATGTTGGCGTAGGTCTGGCCGATGCCGGTGCCGTAGCTGACGAGGTAGCCGGTGAGCTCGCGCTCGCCGAGGGCCTTGCGTATCTGCTCCATGTCGCGGGCGACGAAGGTGGTGCTGAGGAAGCGGGGGACGTCGCCGTGCTTCTTGAAGCAGGCGTTCATGGTGGCGTTGTTCATGGCGTCGGCGAGGTTGAGCTGGCGCTTGGGGTCGGAGACCTCGAGGTACTGGCCGGTGAGGAGGGACCAGTGGTCGCGGTCGACGTCGTAGGGGAAGCAGGAGATGGAGGGGTGCGTAGCGTTGACGCCGCGGGGGTCCCAGCCGAGCACGTCGAAGGTGCCGTTGCTGAAGCGCTTGGAGACGCGTTCGGCGGCCGACCAGGCGTAGGATGTGCCGCTGCCGCCGGGGCCGCCGGGCTCGATTACGATGGTGCGTTTGCTCTTGGTGCCCGGGACGGGGTTTTTGTCTGCGTCGAGGGGTTCTCTGATGCGGGCGAGGCCGGAGACTTGGTACTTTGTCACGGCCAGCCGGACGATACGCGTGTCAGAGTCATTGGTGTAGTCGAGGGGCACGTCGAGGTATCCGCAGAGGTAGATGCCGCGGCCTGCGTAGGGATTGCGGAACTCCTCGGTGGACGTGGTTTTGTTGCCCCAGCTCCAGTGAGACGGACGAGGGTCAAAAAGGGCCTCCCAAGTGTCCTCGGGGTGCGGGTCGTTGAGGGGAGGCGGGAGAGATGTGTTGGTGCAAGGGATGAACCTGAACGGGTCATCGGGCAAGGGGAACCGGCCGTACGGAGACCCTCTGAGATGGACGACTGAGGCGAAGTCATGATGGTGCTCGGGGTGCCTCCAAGACTTGAGGTCCTGCTTGTGGAGGTACCAGCTCGCAGCGCCCAGCAATGCGATGGCGCCGCCGGCTATCAGCCACTTTCCGATGGCTGATCGGTTGTGTCGCCGGGCCGGCTGCACGCTCGCGTACGCTTGCTTCTTCTCCATGTTGAGTGCCGTTCCACACAGATTCAATGTCTGAACCCAACAATCGCCCCTCAATGGCAGATTTACTGATTATAAGTACAAAATAAGTAAGACGTAAGCGACGCGATGGCTGCCGTGGTGACGAAGAAAACGCGTTTGAGACGACGTCGCTCGCTGAGGGGTTTCGCAAGCCTCGCCGTCTTCGCGAGCTCTGGTTGGCTCGGCTCGTTCCAAGCTGTAACGGCCGGCTTATGTCAGCTTCGGCCGGCCGAGTCGGGCTTAGCTCCCGGGAAGTGTGGGGATCCTTGGGTCCGATTTGCCGTTACGGACCCCACTAAGGTCTCCGGGCACGAAGCTGTGAGGAATTTGACGCATGTTTGTCTGTCGATGGTGTAAGCTTCGGCCAAAAATTCATCCGCGGTGATTCTTAGTCCGCGTATACATTCCAAAGCTAGAACATCTCTGTCTCTGATGGTGGTATTACGAACGACGACGTCCAAGTGCTTCATCCGCCGCGTCAGAATGCCTCCCTGACCGGCTTGAACTTCCATCGGGTGGGGGCCGCAGAGGTTTTCCGATCTATCGGCCGAGAGATGGACATGAGCCGGACGGCTTTCGATGTGGACCGGCGATTAATTTATCGCGGACCCGCTAGCTAGAGGTCCACCGCTACACGTGAGCTCAAAGCGATCAGCGCCGGTCCTTTTTCAGGTCTGGACCGGAGCAGACAAACCTTGAGAAGTTCTGTGGCTCTCCGAAAACGTCCCTGTAGAAGTGTATCAAATAGCATCTCTGAGTTGCAGGTTGGACATTCATAACATCGCCCTCACTATCAATCAGTCAATCTCAAACGCTGCACAAGTAGCGGCTTAAACACCCACAAATGGGTGCGGCTAGGCTCCTGAGGTAGAAGATTGAACTCTACACATGCAAGCAATATGAGCGTCGAGAACCATATTCAAAGAACTTGCTCATCTCGAGACGTTGAAGAAAGCTGCCGAACTGAGAAGATTTGGCCCTCACCTCAACCAGGTAACACGAATAGTGGACAGTCTTCGGAGCCTCCGTGGCCAATTCCCCCAGCGCAAATTTATCCGCCACAATATCCTCAAAGAGATCTCTCCCATCAAGGCAACTACCATCCTCGAACGCAAGCCCGTTCAAGTCTTCCAAGAAATGATCAACCCCATCACGTGTATCCTTAGTCCCATCGCAGTCCCATCGCGAGTCAACCGAGTTCCCAAGGCTTGGCAAACCCGCCCACCCTCCGGCGCTAGCCGCCTCAAAAGTCGCCGTCGAAGCCGGAACAACGGCACTCGCTCGCAAACTCAAAATAACAATACCTCAAGCTTCACAGTCCGTGCAACACAGCACGATCAACGGCCTCACTGGATGCCAAGAAGTGCATCACGGCAACGCGGCCGGCACCTCCATCATCTCTTCTCAAAAGTCGACAAATGACACAGATTGGCGCCCCCGTGGGATCCAGCCGTCAGGTACGGAAATCTCCGAAGCGGCTCGTTACTTTTTTCGTCTCCCCTTTCGTCTCCTCTGCGCAGCGCCAAGACATTCCAACGAGATGCACGCACAAAGGTTTGGCCAAACCCCAACGCCAAGACCGCCACCGTGGCCGAGCCGGGTCATCGCCAGGCCCGACTTTTCGCAGAAGGGAGAAAGAAGAGAACAGTCATGCGTGAGACGAAAAAAGTCTTGGCTCTTTTCTTTCGTGTCTTGTCCGCTGGCGTTGGCGTTTGTTTGCCAATGGTCTTGGCATAGGGCGTAACGCGTGTACCTGCGACCGATGAGACTCGCAGATGGCAGCGAGGCGGAAAGCGCAGTCCAGCCCGGAAGACAAAAGAGTGTCACCGCCTAGTTCCCAAGTACTTCTCGTGAGATGTCCTGAGGGAACGAGTTGTCACACATCGCGACGGGTGCGCTGCACACGCAAACCCCCCAAGAAAGCCCAAGAGCAAATTAGCGAGATTTTTCCTCGGCGCCAATCTTTGCCCAGAACAACCGCGCTTCGCAATGCCAGACCTCCTGAAAAAGCCCAGGGGAATTTTCTGCAGATGTTAAACCTCAGACAATGACTCTCTATTGCCCTGGCGCCCAGGCAGGCACGAAGTCGACATGAAAAAAATGAAGAAAATGTCACCGAAATCTCGATGAAATTCGTCATGGGGAATAGGCCGGCAAATGGGCGCCTGTCGATCAGTCACGGCCGTCTGTGTTCCTCGCCGGCAGCGCTTGGCGCGCCAAGATTATTTGCGCTGATCTTGGGGTCTTGGGTCTTGGTCTTGGGTCTTGGGGGAGCGTCAGTGTGTCAGAGAGCAGAGCACACCTGAGGAGCATGATTGCGATGGACCCTGAAGGTCTGTACACACGGCAGTGTGGTGTCTTGGCGCAGAGTCAGCTCTGATGGTAGATGTCGACGGCCTCGTCTTGCTTCTTTGAGCAACGGGCGCTGCGACTGCGACGGCTCGTTCAGGGTGCAGAACCTACGAAGACAACGGGGATCTTGATCTGGAGCGACATGAGTCTGCCGCGGCACAGCCAGTCTCGAACGCTTTGCGGGAAACGCACCCTTTCGCAACGTTGCCGCAAACAGGGGCGTGTCTCGGCACTTTCCCACCGCCTGTATCGTGGTAGACAGCGGACGGTTGCAGTTGGCGTCTTGCAGCGAAGCAGATGGTCACCCATCATGATCGGGTTGAAGGGAGAAAGCACCCAGGTCCAATCACCCGCTGCCCAGACACCACGGCGCCGTTTGCACTGCAAGACACCACCACCACCACCACCGTGAATGCGAATCCCGACTCTTGGCCAGGCGATAACCAAGATGGCCAATTTCCTTTTCCCATCACCCAAGAAGTCTAAACAGCAGACTGGCTCGCGATACGTCACATCATCGGGTGGAAGCTGAGGTATGCCGAGCAGCGCCAGACACCCGCACATTACGGATGCCAATGCCAATGCCTCTGTCCCAAGACACCCCAGAATTCCACCGCTGTCTCGTCTCTGGCGCAGATGCCGCCGAAACGGCACCGCATTTAGGTACACGCGCAGGCCCAGATACAGCTGTAACACGCCCCCAAGAAAAAGCCCAGGCCGCCCGCATGTCGCCGTCCTCACCGTTCCCTCTCGGCGGCGGGTGTCGTGATTGCGCAACAGCAGGTAGAGTGCCAATGGGCGCTGCGTTGCGCTGGCGTGTGTCTGCCCTCCCCATGTCGCCGGCCTGGCCTGGCCTTGGCTGCAACACCTCCCAAGAGTGGCCTATTTCTTGTGCGCTTCATGCTAAGGCTCGGCTGTCTTGTGCCAGGTAGAGGACTACTGAGGTGTCCCGCTGGTTCAATGTGGTACATACAACAATAATGCCCAGCCCAGCACAGGATGCCCCAGGGGAAGATAAACCTTTCCTCGGTCTTGGCTTACATGCCTCTCTCACATTAGACGTACCTTTCATCCGTAGCACACGCACTGAACAGAGAGGCCCAGGACAGCGCCAAGCAAAAGCACATCCCCCCCAAATGAAAATACGTAAAACCCTCCTCGCCCCATCTCCCCTCCCCCTAGGGAGGTACCAGAAAAGCCAAGGCGGCCCTCAGTGGCCCCTTTCGGAGTCAGTGACCTGATAGCGCGACTTGGCGGGAAACCGCAGCGAGACCCGCGTTGCTGCTAAGAAATTTCCGCCCAGCGACTTGGCTCTTGCTGCTATGTTTTTTTTTTTATTTGTAGTACTGACTGTCCTTCGCCTTTGCTTTTGGACGGCTCCGGTTTCTTGGTTTTCTCTTGGAAGTGAAATGGTTCGGGCGTGATCAGAGCTTTTTTGCTCGGCGTCTCTGGGCTTTTTTTCTTGGGATTTCCAATTCGGATAATTCAAAAGGTCGACGAGTGCCACATCCCATCTCTCTCCCGACATCCCGATCCATCGCAACGCAAAGGCCCGACGTCATGTGGGATTCATCTTGAAGCCCCCATCTCATTCACAGCATCACCGAAGCCACCCCCGGCATCATCCTCACCACAGCATATGGATTTAGAGACGACATCCACGAACATCAACACCAACGCCCCTTGAATTTGCACGGAGGACCATAATCACCAGAGCCGAAAGAGAAAGAATCCTTAGAGATCAAAACCCCCAATACCACGAAAAGATGTCCCTCCACGCCAGCGCCTACAGCCAGCCCGGCTACTCCGCCCCGCCCTACTCCGAGGCCGGCTACCACCACCCGCCCGGCGGCCAGATCTACTACTCCTCCCCCGCAGCCTGCCACCCGCCCGACACGGCTTCGTCGACGCACAGCTCGCAGCAGCGCTACTGGTACGGCCAGCACCCCTCCAGCTGCTACGCGCCGCCGTCCCCCGAGTCCGACCGCTTCAACCGCAAGCGCCGGCGGTGCACCTACATGTACTACGTCCTGCGCCAGCTCGCCATCGTCGTGCCGCTGGTCGTCGTCTTCCTCAACATCAACATTTACGTCTCGCGGCGGGGCAAGTACCTCAACGACGACACGAGCCCGAGCGATCCCATCTTTTATGCCATGTGGTTATCCGTGCCGTTGGTATGTTCTCCTCTCCTATCCTCACATCTCGTGTGTGCTGTAAGCGCAGAAAAGCTGACCGCCGCCCCGCAGTCCGTCCTGATGATGCTCTGGTCCTTCACGACCGTCATCTTCCGCAAGCGCGCCGAGCACCAGCGCGGCGGCATCCCGAAGCACGTCCACTTCGGCATGGAGCTGTGCTTCTCGCTCGGCGCGACCATCTGCTGGATCCTGCTGGTCATCCAGATCGAGTCCAAGAAGAGCAACGCCTTCTATGCGTATCCGTACATGCGGTACGAGGCGGCGCTGGCGTTTCTGCTGGGGCTGATCATGTAAGTTTCTTGTTTGAGCCAGGGATGAGATGTAAAGTCTGACGAATGGCAGGTTATCGGAATACGGCCTCCTCTTCCGGGCTTGGTTCGAATTCAGCAACGACAGGACGCGGTTGGAGGACCAGGCTGCCATGGTGCAGGTCTGAGCCTATTCGTCTTTTTATTCAGGCAATTTGTGCATGCGAGTGCGGCATGCGGGAAACATGTGTGTACGAGTATTGGGAAAACAGCGATATCAGCATGGCGTTAAGGATGGACGGGGGCATTCGAGGAGAACCGGACGAGAGACGGATCACCAACTCGTTATTCTGGTCGATTGCATCATTTCTGTTATTTTGGAGAGAAAAACCCACGAGATACCCAAACAAGCGCAAAAGATACCATTTAATCAACGTTTTCTATTTCCATATATCAGTCTCGTGAGAGGCGACTTATGCTACTGTAACCTCCGGCGGGCATTTAGGCATGCGCTGCATGATTTAACTTATTTTTGATAGAGAGAAGAGATACCCAGCGTGAACGCAAAGATATCATTCAATCAACTATTTCCACAGCTCGGTCTGTTGAGTAACGACTTATGCCACAACCACCTCACCTCAAGCAGGCATCCAGGGAAGCTCTAGACGAGGAAAGGGAAAAAAACATCCCTTCCATTGCACCATTTCGCCATTTTGATGAGAAAAGAGACACCCAGCATAAAACCACCGTTTAACCAACCAACCAACCCATCCATCCATCCTCACCTCCCCCTCCGCCTCCAACCAGCCCACCCCCACGGCCCCAACACACCCCCCGCAAACACCACCGCCCCAAACAGCGCCGTGACCGCGTACACCCCAAACGGCCCCAACGCCCCCATCCCCGGCGGCGGCCGCAGCGCAAACCCGTCGTCCGCCGCGGGCATCCCCCCCAACACCGTCGCCGTCGCCGCACTCTGCCCCTCCTCGGTAGTCATACCCGCCGGCACGTCCGCGCACCGCTCCGCATCGCACCACACCGTCGTCGGCGCCCCGTGCATCTCCGTGTCCGAGCGCGGATCGTCCGCCGCGTAGACTACCCCCGCCAGGCGAATCTCGGCGCGCGAGGCGGGGATGGCGTGGCCTGTTACTTCGCCCTGCACTGTCGTTGTAACCCGGGGGTAAGTCAGGATTTTGGGGGTTGTGAGGGAGGCGATGCAAGCTGCTTCTCTACACCCATACTCCAGAACTCTGTCCTAATCAGTAATCCGTGAGAAAGGGGAGGGGGAGGGGGGGAATGTACGTCGGACAGCACAGCACACCCACCACCGCCGTCTCCCACCGCTCCGTGGCCGTCAGTGGCGTGAGGCTGTTATCCCACCCGGTGCTCCAGCTCACGCTCGGCTGGGTATGCGAGGCCACGCCGTCCGTGGTGCTGCAGGCGGGGGAGAAGCCCGCGGGGCAGCCGTCCCAGTGCCATGCGCGCAGGGCGGCGCACGCGTCGGAGGGGGCGGAGGTGGTGGTTTGCGGGGCGATGCTGCATTCCGGCGGCGGGGTGACGCGGGCGGAGGACATGGTGAAGCGGGTGGTGGGTTAAGGTGAGGCTGTATCCATGGCTGGGGAGGCTGCTTTTTGGGGTTGATGCGGGTGAGGGTAGGGAAGGTCACTGGACTAGGTGGTTTTAGGCGCGTCTGCGACCCTGCGGCACGGCGTTCCGTGTGCGTGGTGAGCTGGGATTATCTGCACATCTCAACGAACACCTCACTGTGAGGCATCTCATGAAATGATGAGTGAGTGTGAACATGAGATGAGCCACGAGTCATGATTCTCAGTGACCAAATCCCCCAACACCGATGAGATCACACAACACACCATACCTGAACAAATATCCGGATTACCTAGTCCGGTGAGGCCCGGTGAGCGGCATTCCAACATCACCGAGAACGAGAACAAGCTTCGGTGAGGCCCCACTCCCTCCCGCGGAGACCCAGATCGGGAAAAGCCGCTGACGAGAAGTGGACCCCTTATGAGTGTTGATTGGTCGCTTGGTCTCCGTCGATGGATCCGATTTGCTCATGGCCGTCTCAGGCGCGTCACAGTCGCCGCTGGGCCAATCGCAGGTGGAGATTTCCCGCGATTCCCGACCCGGCCGAAGCCCGTCGTCGCTGTCGCTGTCGGATTCCCCATCAAAGAGCCCCCCCAAAGGGCACCATCACCCAACGCACCAAGGACCCCGCCGTCGTCACTGGTCCTCGATCCGACCAAACGTTGCATCCAGCCCGATCTCGCCCTGCTATCTTTATTTTTTTTGTGTCTGTCCGCTGCATAACCTGGGCCCAACAAGAGGTAGAGGCGACCGTCCACCTAAGAAAAAAAATCTCCACTCTCCCAGTCAACTTTCTTCCGTCCCGCAATCGAACCAGAAGCGAAGCGAGCGAGCAGATTAGCCTCATCAGCCTCACCCAGCAGCCTCCCTCCCGCCGCAAGCCCCCCCCCCCCTCACCCCTCTGAAGCGGGCAGAGAGCGAGAGAGAGAGAACGTCTCAATAATGATCAGCCATGTCGACGAGAGCCATTAAGAAGAGCGCCTTCTCGTGCGAGCCGTGTCGCCGGCGCAAGGTACGTCTTTGCCTTTCCCTTTTTATCTCCGATGCCTTTTTTTTCCTGCTGCTGTTTCACCACTTCCCCTTGCGCTGGTGCTTTTCCGCTTTCCCGCCTCCGCCACCGGCACCCGGCACCCCTGCACCACCACTGCCGGCCGAGCACGCGGCGGCTGCGATGCAAGGCTGCCTATCGAATGATCGCCATCTCGGCCTTGGAGGACTGCATCCTTGGTCGGCCGGGCGGTCCGGTGGTGCGTGGTTCGATGTGGTGGTGCGGCGGCGCTGGCGGGGGTGGGACGGACGTCATCATCGAAAACCCAATCTCCGGACACGGCGTCGGACGCGGGGGGCTGACCGGAACCGGGATGACAGGTAAAATGCGGCGGCGAGCAGCCGACGTGCAACAGATGCGCCGCACGCGCGGATGAGTGCGTCTACAAACTGTGAGACAACCCACACCCCGTCGACGCCCTCCCTTACCCCTCACCCACTGTGCAGCCTGACTGACCAACCAAGCAACCCGACGCTGTCGTACACATCGCGCCTCGAGCAGCGCATCAAGGACCTCGAGGCCCAGCTGGCCGCCGCCAGGGTCCACGCCCCGGGCCCCTCGGAGCCGTCGCGGACCTCGTCCCCCAGCCTGGGCCCGTCCGCCGGCCAGTCTCCCATGACGGATCCGCATCACGTCGAGTCGCAGGATGAGGAGTCTGTGAGTGAGAGCTTCAAGGGCCTAAAAGTTGACGACAAGGGCGGCATCACGTATCACGGTGCTACGAGCTTCTTTCAGCTGCCGAGCGATCGCCCGCTCGGGTCAAGAGATCACACATCGTCGTCGGAGCAGGCCATCCAGCGGCGGGAGAGGCTCGTCGCCAATGCTTGGCAGCAGAGGGCTCTCGAAAACATGTCCGAGATACCAGTGAGTTTCTTACCGTATGACTGGCATGCGTTACCAAGGCTGACGGCCTGCACAGGAACCATTTGGATACCTGCTCAACGTGCATTGGTGCTGGATCCAGCCGCTTTTCAACTTCATCTACAGGCCCGCCTTTACCCGTGAGTGCATCTTATATGGGCTTGCAGCTGCATACTGACCCCCGCCAGGTGATATGCAGACCATGGGGCCGTACTACTCTCATACCTTGATGAATGCAGTATTATCTCACTCCATCCGCTGGGGCAGGAGTGATCCCGCCACAAAGGAGAAGCTCGAAGAGTTCTACGACGGTGGTGCTCTCTTTGGCAAGCACGCCCGGAGCATGGTCTTCGAGGAGCTCAGCCAGGGCGTTTGCTCAATCCCTACCGTTCAGACGCTGCTGCTTCTCAGCGCACAGGAGTGTAGTGTCGGAAATAGCGCCCAGGCCTGGACGTATAGCGGTCTTGCATTCCGTATCATCGACCATCTCGGCATCTGCGTCGATGGCCAAAGGTATCCGGGCTCGGTCCAACTAGCTGACGAGGACGTCGAGATTCGGCATCGCCTCTTCTGGAGCTGCTATTTCTGGGACAAGATGATTAGTCTATACCTCGGCCGCTCGCCTTCGCTGCAGCAGACGTCGGTGTCTCCGCCACAAATTATGTGTAGGTCAGCCTCCTGTCGTGTTTGTTCCCAAGCTAATACCACCAGTTGATGATTCCGCCGAGAATGAGTCCTGGACCCCCTTTGGCGTCGTCCCGGAAGGCGGCTGGAAGTACCCTCCCTCGGCTGCCCACTCCACCTCTTGCTTTACGCAAATGTGCCGTCTCTCGGTCATCTTCAACGAGATCCTCGTGCACATGTATGACCCGGTTCGTCCCAACAGCCAGGCCGAGATGCAAGAGTGCCTGGCCAAGCAAGAGCCCGCCCTCCGCCAGTGGTGGGATGAGCTGCCTCCTCACCTGAAAATGGAATCCACGGCGCTCCCGGCTCTCGCGCCACCGTCCCATATCATTACCTTGAAGTAAGCAATCATTTGCGGATCACAAGACTCTGGCTGACGCATCCCAGCGCACTTTACCGCACGTTCAAGATCCTCCTCTACCGGCCGATGCTCTCCCAGCGCGGGCGCGTCGGTGAGAATCTCCAACCGGTGCAGCGGTACCTGGTCGAGTGCGTGACGACCGCGACCTCGATCATCGCCATCTTCGACCTCTTCTGCCGCTCCTTCGGCATCGGCCATTGCGTCCTTTCCCTCTCATACAGCGTTTACATTGCCGCGTCCATCTTTCTCCTGCAGGTCCAGTCGAGCGTGGAAGACACGCAGGCGCTCCGCCGGCTGGAGTACTGCGTCCGCATCTTGGCGTCCGTGAAGCGCATCAACCCAGGTGAGTCTCCACACTTCGTCTCCACTCCCATCAGTGTCAATGACGTCGCTGACCCCTCTGAAAAAGTCATCAGCAGCGCCCTCAACCTCATCACCCGTGAGCTCGCCAGCCTCGGTATCGACATTGGCGCCCTCGGCCTCTCAAAAACAGCCGCCACGCCCCCTATGGCAACCTACGGCATTCCGCAGGCCAGAGAGCCTGGCGTGCCGCCGGTCTCTGTTCCGCCGGGCCCAGAGGCGACCAGCTCGCCCGAGCAGCTGTACAACTTCCCGTTCGTCGATACGCTCGGTCCGGAGGCGTTCGCGATCGACCCGCAAGTGTTCCAGAATATGTCGGCGATAGAGCCGTTGAGTGTCCGGGTTGGCGCGATAGAAGAGTAAAATCATGCCCTCGAAACGTTTCCGGCGTTGTGGGCACCTCAAAGGTCGCCTCTAAAATCGCCCGTATCGCCAATCTGAATCGGCATGTTTGCATTGTTTGAATGAGCTCGTTCCTTGACCATGACTTTTGAGGGTCCTGTTCCAACAGTCACCAGACCACGACCAAGGAAGTCAATATGGTGACAAGACTTTCTGGGACAGTTTATCTTGTAGTACTGGAGACGTGCTCTCTGCCGCCAGGCAGAGAGCAGCATCTAGTTGCGGCAGCTTGCATCCTCGTTTTGATGTTAAGAATCTTCGAGGCATACCTGTAAACAGAGTCAGCACATACGTTCAAAATTATAGACCAAACAATTATCAAGAAAAAAATACCGCAGACTTCACCGGGACAGGCACATTTGGCTCCTGATCAACATCCCGCCATCCCAACGTGTCGAACATCGAGAATTGAAGCGTTGGTGCCGTGTGAGTTCCGGAATCAAGGACAAGGCCGGCAACTGATAATTTCCTCGTGGGTGCGTTCGCAGCAGTCTGTTCGAGTCTCGTAGTGGCCGGGGTTATCTATTATCGTGTATGAAAGACGAAGAAGCAAATAATTGTTTTGGCTGCATCGGAGGTAGGTCTGGATGCCTGCACATGTCGACTCTACCGCAATTCAAAGACAGAGTGTCGGCTTCGCAAACAATGGGTTATCTTGCCAGAGAGACAATGCCTGTCAGGATTGCTGTTCTTCGAATTTGGATTCCCGTCGAGCTTCTGCAAGCATCCGTTAGAAAAGTGTCAATAGCATTGCCAAAAAAGAATCATGCTTGTATCAAAGAAAGAAAAGGAAAATAAGGCACCAAGCAGCACGTGCGATGCGTTGTCGTACGTTGCTATTTTCAGCAAGAAAAAGAGACATGGATCCTGAGACTTTGCAGATTTACTTACACTGACCGGCGTTTCTGAAACCCCCGCAACACCAGCCCGCCGGGTTCTTACTCAAGACACCGGAACCCAGGCTTGCGAATGATTCGGCCTTGCTGATCCGAACCTCTTTTGGACGCAGATGATGGGCTGATCTGACACTTGGGAATTCTTAACCTCGGTGTTTGTCGGTTAAGATAGCCGTGGAGTTCAGGGACCCGATTTCTTCGAAATGAGGCGCGTCATCATCTTGTGAGAAACCAGCCGACGTTTCTGCCGCGGGGTTATCATGTACGTGCTACCTGCGAAGAGGGAACACAATTGGGGCCGGAGGCTCTCGTGATGACTTTCCTCCACTACCGCGGAGGTCAAGAGGGCTGCAAGCA